AAAAAAAAATCATAGGGCAGTAGGCCCACAACGAATTGTCAAGAAGTTAAACTAAGTTTAAAGCTTTGTAAACCGCCTGTTGGAGACCTGGTTTCCTTAGCCTACTAATGCCTTTCACTCCTTTATGATGCAGGATTGCCCTCAGCTCATCCACCTTTAATTCATCGACCTGTAATAGATAAAAAAGCTGCATCAGTTTTACTGTTGTAAGGAAGACTGGGTTAGGATGCCGTGTTCATATTTTTTCTTACCTGCTGTTTGGTTTGAGGAAGATCATGGATCGGCTGTACACTCCTCGGAGTTCCTTGAGAACTTGGAGCTGGACTCTTCAACACATATGCAACAATTTTTAAGGTGAGTCGTTTGGATATAAAACTATTAGAGAAGGTTGCATATTTGAAATAACCTTACCATTGCAGGTGAAGCTCCTTGCCAGTTCTCCAGAACTCTCATTCGAGCTGGAGTTGTGTGTGATGCCTGCAAGACAGATCAAATTATGAAATTGACCGTTGAAATTGATTTTAGTCCCAGGGCCCAATTTGTGATGTTAGCTACCCCTTATTTCAACGCTAAGAGCTCTGTTGGTGCTTGTAAAGATGTATTAATTTAGAAAAAATATAAATTGTTATCCGTGATCTTTACTCACATTTGTTGCAGTCGAAGCTGTTGCTGCAGCAGGAACCTTGGCTAATTGAGGCTGAGGCCGTGACCATTGTGGTGTTTTAACCTGCAATGTAAAATGTAATTCACTTTATTATTTTGAACAACTGCAAGATTTGCCAAATGTCAAAACTATGAAGTTGGATCTAAATATTTCACCAGGCACAACAAGAGGAATGTACATCTTAGTGACAGCTCTAAAACCTCACACAGTAATTTAATCCCATTCAAAATGTGGTGATTTAGATAGATTTAATGTGTATCAAACTATAATTCAGCTCTTTGCTCACCACAGGGAATATTCCAACTATGGAAGGTGTGGGTGTCCTCTGAGTTAGTGGAGTCAGCTGAGGGGCCTTTTGAGGGACTTTTTGAGGGGTCCTCTGAGGGGTCCTCTGTAGCTGCTGTGCACATGGAGTCTGTGAAGGGGGCAATCCATCTGTTCCAAACAAAAATAAATTATTAGGGTAAGTACAAAATTTGCTTAATGAAGTTTGTTTCAATTCACATAGAGAAGGAGAACATTTGCATACTAGCTAGGGCAACAAACACACACATGCAATGGTTTCAAAAGCTCTACCAAAATCAGGAGTGAAATTAAAAATAAACTAAACATTATTTTAAAATTATTCTTATGATAAAATGAATACTTGTGAATGATTAATGATACTTATCCTTTGTAGTAATGATGAATGGAAATGCTATACTTCTGCCAAACCCAAAAATATACTCCATAGTAGACTGTAAATATAAACAAATAATGACATGTTGTTAATGACCATGTAAAAATATTTTTATGAACAGGTGAACATTTAGCCAAGCCAGACATGAATGGACCTGTTACAAGATAGTGAAATATGAGTGGAGTCTACCAATGGAGAAAGCAGAGACAGGAATACAACTGAAAACCGTATTGTTCCTATGAACTTCCACCGAGGTAAAACACAAACACCACCTATACAGCCGACCCCATACAATTGGGAATTTGTGGACATAAAATCACCTTGTGATTGCAGAGAGCCAAACAACAAGCTTAAGTCATGAGGATGCAACTGATGCACATCCTCTTCCTGACGGATCCCATCGCCATCCTTCACTGCTCCTGCAAGGACTTGCCTGGTTCTTTTGAAAACCCCAACTTTAGACAACCGATTGGCATATCTACAACGCTGTTTAATCAGAAGAGTTGCCAGAGTCTTCTGGATCTCCATTTTGATGGTGGGGTGTTCGTTACATATCAACCACGACCAATCAACAGTGTTGTGGCATAGCAGCTCAATAATTAGGTTTACTAAGTCCTTTTTGTGAAAAATCCTTTTCCAGGATGAATTGAAGCGGCTCATGCACTGCTGAAAGGTGGTAACCAGTTTCTGGGAAGGGAAAAGGAGACCCTCCTCAGAAAGACTGTTTAGAAACACAGCATCAGGACTGTTAGAACCGGGATCTGATGTCAAGACAGCAACACAGCTGGAGCACTTATTTGCCTTGAGGCTGGCAAGACATTTTGAGAGAAGAACAGCTATGCCCTGCCTTCTCATACTGGGCAAAGCATCAGTTTGCACATTGCCCCTTGGCTGCTCTCCCCTAATTAAAGTAGGTTCTGTCTCAACCTGAGAATTATTCCCATCATTGGAGTTCCCCTGCAAGCACTCAGAGAGGTCAGTAAGAATAAATTCTCCATCATCCAAACAGTTTTTGTCCCTTGCCTTATTACTAAATTTTGTGATCAACACAGTTTTCAATGCTCCTGTAAATTGTGCGCAGGTGACATCCGAGCTGGACCCACAACATTGGCGAATGTGAGCAAACAGATTCTCCAAAGCATCTTGATTGAGGCACCGCAGTTCCATCCTATGAATCTTCATCTTTCTGAGGGTCTGCCACAACCACATCATGCCACGGACGGACTCAATCCACCCCTTCACACAAGGTGGAACATGAGAAACACCAGTACTTTTTCTTATGTAAGTCCACTTTTCTAATTTCTTAATCATTACTGGCCATGCTGTATGGTGTAAAGATTTAGTAGTAACATTCTGTCTCTGGTCTTTTTTCTTTTCATGTCCAGTTCTGCTTGGCTCATTAGTGATGTCAAAGAAATGGTCAACCTCTCTTATCAGGTGGGCGGTTGCCAAGGAGCCTTGCAGATAAGCGCCCTGAGAGACTCTGGAAATGGTTTCCATCGCACCTGCCACAGAAGCACTTAAGGTTTGAGCTGCGTACTTGACTCTCATTTTCAGGCGGCCCTGTGGATTTAAGTGCTTTGTGGTTAGTGACGACATTTGGCACATGGATTCATCTAGTTTATAGTATTCTATGATGTGCCTAAACATGGCAATTTTACCATCATCATATAGTAAATTGCTTGATAATAAGTTGTTTCGAACATTTTTCAGAATGTGAGGCACATCATATATGTGCACCAGCTTGTGGTCGTCAATTGAATAAATAATATCATCTTGGAGCCTCGAAGATGTTTTCAGCTCAGAAATGGCCCCACGGTTTGTGGGGCCCTGGTCTGATATTGTGGCAAGAACATTTAATCCTGTGCTGAAAACTGCTCGCACCACATCACCAATTAACAGCTTCAACATATTAGAAGGACAGGTCTTGTGGACAAAATAGAATGCAACAGGTTGAGTCCATTTTTGAGTGATTCCCTGTACCATAAACACCAATGCATGGTCCGCGGTGAGTGTGGTGCGACCGCGCTCCCCGTAGTCTTCAAAACCGTCCACTGAACCTCTGGCTTCATTGAAGTACAAACCCCCACTCAGGTAAACTTCATCAAATAATATAACACAATTTTTTTCCTTTGGTTTCAGTTTTTCCACGGTACGTTTCAGCAGGCTGATGAGAGTCTGGCAGATACCTGGTGTCAAGGGTACATTTGCCAACAGGGATTTCAGAGTGCTCTCAGACGGAAGACACAAATATTGGCATAAAAATCTATAAGTCTTTGGACTTCTCTTGTATATGGCAAGGGCAAATAATTTATTTTCCATTGTCCATTTCCTTCCCTGTGGCTTCTTTTTGAAGTTTGCAAGCTCAGCCTTCAGCAGCATCCTCAGCTTGTTGCTGACGGTCAGTTGATCCACCATGTTGACAAACTTGTTGGAGGCAAGCTTTCGTAGAGAACTATTTTCTCTTTGGCACAGCTCCAATGTCCTACGCACTCTAGCTGCATCACTGCGGTACTGCTGAGTTGTTTTAATGACCTTGTTGACATCAGGAGTAATTACTGTCACCCCACTCATGGCAGCTATTTTTCTTTTTGTTAGACGTGGACGTTCCCTGCTCACAGCTCCAGTTCTCAGAAGAGACCCTGCAATCAAAGAGGATAGTGTCAAGGTATTCGTTGTGAAAAAAGTTGCCAGAACTCTTTGTGAAATCACAACTTGTCTTCTTCGTCAAAAATTGATAACTTCAGAAATTATTATGGTTTACAAGCAAAGTTGAGATAGCAAAACGCACTATTTGTGACTACAAAGAAGTGTTGTGATTTCACAGTTGCTTTATATTGTGAAGGTGTTGGGAAATCTCAAAATATTTTTAACAGTGTATAAAGTGTTGGAGAGTGCAGATGAAATTAATTTTTAAACTACTATTGCAGAACTAGCTTACTTCGGGGTTCTTCTCTCTGGATGAGTGGTCTTTTCAACTCTGGGACCACACCCTCCAGCTCTTGCAGTTCAAGACAGTCCTCTGCCTCATCTCTCTTCCTTTTTTCTGCAAAGTATCAGAAAATTATATATTGGAGCCATGAGTAGGATGTTTACTATGTTGAGTGTCTTACCATTGCTAGAGCCATCTGTGGAAGGAGCCGGAAGAAGTGAAAAGGTGAATGAAGGATTTGTCACTAGTGCGGGGAGGGCAGGGGTGATAGTTTGTTGAGGAAGTGTGTCTGGTTGAAATGGTGCATGGTGTGATGGTGAATGAGACTGGTGTAGGGATGATGAAGCAGATGATGTTGATGGTGTCCCAAACATGAAAGGTTCAGTTTGACCTGTTCAGAAAAAATCCATACAAAATTATATTTTTTCCCTGAGGGAAGACTAGGACAGAAATTATATTGGAGTCAACTGACCAGGCTCAAACCAGGGAGCTGTCCTCATCTCATCATCAGAGAGAGCCACCTTATCCTTGAAGACTGGAATGGCCCATCTCTGCAGCCTCTCTCTCTTATTTGACCAAAACATGTCTGGCTCAAAGTGACCTGGGCACAAATACCTGCTATTGTGCAACACTTCCGCTGACAATTTGGTGAGAGCTTTTTTTCCTAAAGGCTGAACCCACTTCTTCAACCTGAATGCATGCCAAATTTCCATGTCATTATATTAATTTACTAATGAATGAGGTACTGTTTTCTATACAAAAATGTTTAACCACCAATCAAATTAATTTACTTTTGCAATTATGTTTGGTCTGATTATTTCTTTACAGTAGATTTTGTACATACTTTTTAGTACAATGTGTTTATATACTATTTATTTTATAATTCACCCTTGGGCTATTTATTTCTGTACAGTATTGTATTATAATTATTTTAGTGATGTATCTATTGATGTTAATTTCTGTTGTACTGCCATTTTAAGAAACATTATATTATATTTAATGAAGAGCATGCTTGTCTGTTGGTTAACTTTTACTTTACCTTTGCTTTTGCATGGGAAACCGAAACATTGTCTTCCCATCATTTGCTATGGACACTTGATCACAAGCTTCACACCTACGCTCTTTTGGCCTTTTTCGCTTGGGGCTCATTGTCACTACAGAAATATTACGAAAAACAGTAGTGTGACAGTGTGACAGGTGACAGGTGGTTGACTTTCCCGGGTGTGTCTTGTCTGCTTGTGTCGTCTGCTATTGTGTTTACTTTGTGCCTCAGTGTTACCGCGTTGAGTGAAATAACAGTAAAAAATCACATAAGATTGTTAAGTTTATTTCTTGTTTATTTTTAAAGATTTTCTCATGGGAAGTAACATAATGATATTTCCTTTTATGTCGTTACTGAAATCAGTGATATCGCGTTCGGAACAATTCGGAAATCCTTGTGGTAGTTGTTGATTCGATCCTCAACAGTTGGCAAGATACCGAATCCAGGGGTGAAGAGAGGGGTTCGCGGGGAGGCTGGTTGAAACCGGAAACGCCTATCCCAGTTGGCTGGGCCTGGGTTGGTGAAGTGTAGTGAGAGAGCTTTATTGATTTCAGGGTATATTTATAGCAGTCGAGTGGTGGGGGCTAGCACTGCTAATAGGCTGTGCTGTATTTGCAGGTGGCAGGCAGCGCCTTGCCAACTAGAACAGTTTTGACTGCGTATAAATGCCGTGCAGTTGGCCGCAGACACAGAACTGTGAATAATCACTTCGAGGGTTAAACTAAGGAAATATTTAAAGGACATGCTATACTGTGAAACTCAAATTCAGTACAATGCATACTATTTCAAGTTGAATCTGCAACTTTCAAAACATATTTTGATGACAATTGGCATACCTTCAATATCTTGGGTAAATATAAAGGGTATGAAAGACTTGACTGTGCCACAATGAGTCGTGGAATGGAAAGTTGAAAAGACTGTTGAACCGTAAGAGGACCATTGCTGACATGTTCCTCAAGCTTCGAAAAATGCATCAAAATCATGTCAACAATTCTCTCTGAAGAGTTTAACAATGTGCCGAAAGTTCACTACACCACCAACAACTCTGACCCAAATTCAGCTGAAATTAGAATAGTTTGCACCCCATATGTGCCTGCCATTGTTCTCAAACAGTATGACGTCAGTCTAAAAAGGGGTGCTCTTCCTATTGATTACTCTTTAAATTCTGACAAATGTGTGTGCACATTTTTTAAAGCTTACTCCTTCCCCTGCTTACACATATTTTTCAGTAGGCGAATGCAAGGTGAGTGTTTTCTCTCTAGCTTTGTCACATACAGTAATATTTTAAGAAGACTTGTCTTGTTTCATTTTGTCTTATCTGATGGTTTTGTCCTCACAGATCGGCCTTTATTTTCCATTGAGGATATAGACCCTAAGTGGCGGGTGACTGGTGACAATGATCACAATACAATTGAAGGGGAAAAGCTTGATTCTCACATCCCACGTCCCCCACCTACAATCTTTCAACCGAATCCCCTCAAAGTGGATGGTCGAAAGTTGAACAACCGTGAGAGGTACTCGGACTTTAAGAAAACTTGTAAAAGGGCTGGAGGACAACAATTTTTTGACAGACGCCAAGTTCCTCTTGATGTCATAAATTTGTGGGAGAACAATCAAGAAGTAACTGTTATGCCACTAGCAACAGCAGGAACTTCTGTTCAGCACAGAAGTTCCGTTGGGCAGCCTCACATTGAAGATAACGAAGAGGACATTGATGGAACGTTTGCTGACCATGACCATGCTGACCAGCAAGTTACTCAAGCAAGTGATTGTTACTTCCCCGGGTACTAAATTATTTTGTCTAACAATTAATTCATTACAAAGTCAATATAAAGTAAACATTTTTTCCATCTTTTTTTTAGTTTTTACCAGCTACCAGCACTGATAACCAGCCAAGTGAGAAACAGTCCGTAAATGTAGATGTGGCTTAATAGCATTACAGTGAGTTTATCCACCTCTCTGTTTTCCTCTGTTGCATTGTTTAATTTTAAAATTTGTTTCACGGAGTAATACATAAATTGCGTTGATGAATTTCGAGATCTTTTGTAATAATTTATGACTTCATTTTCAGATACACTGCAAAATATGGAGTTAACACAGTTCGAGTTTGTTTTAGGTGTCCGAAGACACTTCCTCAAGTACCGTGCTTGTTCAAAGTTGTTCTAAACTCAATGGAGATCAAGATTGTAAATGGAGTTCTGAACAAAGAAAAGGTTCTTTA